CCATATCTGGCTATCAGATCTATTACTTCCCTTTGGATGCACATTCAGAATCACTGAATATGAATGAGTAAGCCCCTGAGTCACTTAACAGCTGTCTTTTTATATAAAATAGGAAAGACAAGAAGTGGACAGAGGGTAGCATTAAGATTCCCATAATATCTATATATGATATTGTGAGTTGAGCCCAAATGAGCTCTTTGGAGGAGAGGACCCAAAGGATGGTGATTATTCAACATTAAATAATGCAGAATAAGTTAGGCCAATTTACTCACATCCCCTGCAGAAACACTTGGTGGCTCTAGAACCTACATAAAGCAATTCATGTATGAATGTAAGAGTTCTGCTGGATCAGACCACAGGCCTATCCAGTCTACCATCTTGTTTGCCCAACAGCCTTTGAAATGAGTTGGTGGCGGTAGTATTGGAGAATCTAAGAGTCATCTCTGAAGATTTCAACATTCACACTATAGTTGCCTGTCAGCACTAGTTCTGGACTTTGTGGCCACCATGACAACCATGGGACTGTCTAAATAAGTCATTGTTCCAATACTTATTGGAGTGCATGCCCTCAGTTTGGTCTTCAGTTTGTGGCTCAGTTTGGTCTAACTCTCTCTGGGTAAGAGTTATCGTACCATTATCATGATGAGAGCACATCCTGGTGAAGTATGGATGGACACCAGACTTAATGGCTTGCAGGACCATTGACAGGACTGGCCTTAACATCTGACCCATCCTCATTGTGGAACCCAGGTAGCACCCTGGTTCTCAGTGGAGCTATGGACAATGAATCATAGAATAGTAAAGTTGGAAGGGGCCAGAGGGCCATCAGGTCCAAACCCCTGCTCAGTGCAGGACTCCAAGCTGAACCATCCCTCTTAGATGGATGTCCAGTTGCATGTTGAATGCTTCCAGTGTGAAAGAGTCCACAACCTCTCTAGGTAATTGGTTCTATTGTCATACTGCTCTAACAGTCAGGATTTTTTTCTTGATCTCTAGCTGGAATCTGGCTTCCTGGAACTTGAGCCCATTATTCCTGTCCTGCAGTTTGCGATGATTGACAAGAGACCCTGTTCTTCCTCTTTGTGACATTCTTTCAAGTACCTGAAGAGTGCTATACTATCTCCCCTCAATCATGTCTTCTTGAGGCTAAACATGACCATTTCTTTCAATCCCAGGGCTTTGTTTCCAGTCCCCAGAACATCCTTGTTGCCCTCCTCTGAACCCTTTCCAGTTTGTCTGCATCTTTCTCAAGCAGTGGTGCCCAGAACTGGACACAGTACTCCAGATGAGGCCTAACCAGTGCTGAGTAAAGGGATTTAGTAATAAAGGATAAAGCGCTAGCAATCAGGAGGCATCGTGCAGTAATCTTGCCCTTTTTTCCTTAACAGATTTTCTGCATCAAGAAGAAAGATGGACGAAGCACTGTGCAAATGCAGCAGGGTTTTGAGCAGAAGACTTCATGGACTTCCCATAAATATCTGTGAATGAGGTGTGGTGAGGAGAGGGAAAAAGCTTCATCTGGAAGCACCCTAAGATTCAGGCTGATTAGCTGTGGTTGCTGTTTACAGAAAGCAGTTGAGTTTGTAACTCTGCCTTGACTGAGATAGGAGAAGCCACTGTCCCGCAGTGGTAGGCAGAAAAGCACTTAAAACCCAGCTTTGCATCCATTCAGCAGCTGAGCCCATCGGTTGGTGTCGTTCTTCCTGCGCCAGTAACCTTTCTTGAGAGCTAAGTGTGATGAAAGGCAAAGAACAGCAAATCTTGGGGATTTTCCAGGGCCAAGGCTCTTGCAGCTCTTCTGACCCTCTTCTGTCACGCTCCTCACACATCTACCAAGACTGTTCCCTTCGGAGGCTTTGCTAGTGATTATAGGGATTGAGTCACAGCAGGGCCACAAGAAGGAAATGAAAATTCTCTTTTCCTTAATCGCGGCTTCTGTGCTGCTGCCCCGTGCAGCCGTAAGCAGCAGCTGCATTGCCAAAGTTAAAGCCTCTGAAGAGGATACAATTTGGAACTCTTACTCTGCTAGCTTTTGGGTTTAGCTCCAGATTTTTCCTCTTTGGGCTCTCTGGAGATATGGCATCTATAGCAACCCCGAGTAACGTCTGTTGGTGAATTGATGTCTCTCATGCCCCAGTTTTAGGTAAAAGTGGGGAATATCACTAGAGCTAATATATTCAATTAAGGGCTTTGAAATACTGGCTATGTTCACAACAACACAGCCTGGAAATAAGCAACAGCAGGTTGGCTCTTGTGTAAACAGCCTACAGTGCGTTTGACAGACCAGCAGGCTCATGGGGGGTTGTTCACCCTCTCCTTCCTCCTCAGTTCTTCCGCATGTGTCGTAGGGGGATCCATGACAGCACCATCTCACATGCTCTGCCCCAGCATGATCACAAGCCCTTTTCACTCACCATGGCCTTTTCCAATTTCTATTGTTTGCCCCTTTAACTTCTTCTTTAAGATCACAATTTCTGGCTTGGAACCCAGCATCCATGATCTCTGCTTTGACAGCCTCTGACAACTCCTTTAAAGTACCCCAATAGCACATTGGAGGGCAACTGGTGCTACAATTTTGTTTTATATGAATCTGCAGCGTGCATATAGCTGTATTATTATTATTATTATAACATTTCTATGCCGCCCCTTGCCGAAACCTCGGGGCGGCTTACAACATGATAAAATACATTGAAATACAATAGTACATAATAAATTACCATTAAATACAAAAATACAAAAAATACATTGATTTACAAATATAAAATTAAAATTATCAGTATAAAATAAAAATATAAAGGTATAAAGGTATAAATGTATAAAGGTAAAGGTAAAGGTTTCCCCTTGATGTTAAGTCCAGTCATGCCTGACTCTAGGGGGCAGTGCTCATCTCTGTTTCCTAGCCAACGGAGCCAGCGTTTATCTGCAGACCGTCTCCATGGTCATGTGGCCGGCATGACTAAACACTAAAAAAAAAAAAACCACACTGATAAACCCCATTTTAAAGGAGATCCAGAGATTTAACAGCTAGTTGTCTTCTTTTCCCCACTAACTGGGGGTGGGATGCACTTTTACGTTTTCCTAAGCAGCTAGAGCATGGGTCCTCAAACTATGGCCCGCAGGCCGGATCCGGGTCACCATGCCCATTTATCCAGCCCACCTCAGAGGTTTTGGACTCGCTCGGAGAAAACCATCTCCAAGCGAGTCCAAAACCTCTGAGCCGGTGCAGGCGTTCTCAGAAACTGAGGAGAGAGCTGGCACGTGCACCAAATTGCAACAGCTCAACTGCGCATGCACCGCCCCCCCCCCCCCCCCACCATTGCACAAATATACAGAGCGGGAATACGGAGTCGGAAACAGAAGAGAGGTGGGTGGAAGAGAGAGAGAGACGAAGACAAAGACAAAGAAACTAAAAAAGGATTGAAAGTAAGAAAAATACAACTTTTAAAATCTATTTTTAATTATGTGAGCCTGAGGGGGGCCAGCGCATGGCCTTCTCCACGTGAGCAAGCCACTGCCTCGCCATGCCCATGCCCGCCCCCTGCTGAAAAAGTTTGAGGACCCCTGAGCTAGAGTGTTGAATTGTGCAAAATCCAAGGACATTCAGACCAAGAAAGAAAAAGATGATGATGTTGCTACCCCATTTCAAATACAAAGATCACTTGTGCCTTTGTCTTCCTTTGACAGTTTGCCTTCTGATAGCTGTCATGGGAAACCACTTAGGCATTTGTGGAGTAGCTGTTGCTGGAAGTTGGCTGGACAAAACTGGCAAGAGCAGCAAGAGGTTATAGCAAGCCTAGCACAATCCCTGAGTTGTCGGGGTGCTTTGCTGCCCACAAACAAGCCATCCAGGGAGAAACAGTCCACATACACATGACAACCCACCATGCCTTGTCACCAGTGAAGGGTTGTGTCATGCAAAGTTAGTCCCTGTTAGCTGCTGCTCCTCTATAGCAAAATAATTTCTAGTCAGGCAATGAAATGTTGACTGGAAGAGATGGAGAATAAACCTACCAAGGAAAGGAAAAAATATTTTCCTGAAGCCTCCAAATAGCCCTCTGAAAACCTATGCCACAGGGAGGGAGCTCTTGGCAAAGTGAGACCTGGTTTATTAAAACAAAGAAACACCATGGAGAGATCTGGTTTCTGTATCTAGCATTTGGCAGACAATTTGAAAATTCCAAGTAGGATGGCAACCTGGAATTAGCAGTATCCCACTCCAATTTTCAGGTCTATCAGCAGGTGCAGGTCTATCAGCCACTGTACCCCATCTGGTTAGGTGACCAACAGCCAAATTGCCTGGTCGCTTGATCTCAGAATATGAAGATGAACAGGTGTTGGCCAGACCATAATGGGATACTTCTAAGGAACAAACAGGCAAGTAAAGGTATCTCTTTGTATCACATGTTTACCCATCAGGAATTTGATGTGTTGTTTCTGCATGTGAGTTGTAACCCTCTCTCTCCGATTTGGTTCATGTAATCTACACTGATAATTTTTGAGACTCAGATTGTCTATCTGATATTTATAATTTTGCATTTTCAGGGCAGGTAACAATTTTACAAAAACCAAGCACTACCCTAATTATAAATTGAATTCAAAATACTTTATTTATTTATTTATTTATTTATTTAAACCATTTTTATGCCGCCCCCATCGCAACGAAGCCTTGGTGCGGCTCACAACCGAAACGAATACATAAATACATAAATACACAAATAATAACAATATAACACTAAAAATATATATTTAAAAAACCCCGGTGCATCTCTGCTAAAAATTTAAAATCCTATAAATACAAATAATTTAACAATTAAAATAAGTTTTAAATAAAAAGGGCTTAGTCTGGCGCCGAAATATGAAGTCCATAACTTTTAGAAACATACTAAAATGTTTAGAAAGCATACTAAAATGATCCATACTATTATTTAAAACATTTTATGTCAAGAAAATAATGCCTTTTCCTGTTTGCTCTGTATGGATGAGAAAGTGGTAAAATTGAGTTTTGGGATATTATCTAAGTGATTTCATGAACATTTTTTGTTCACCTGAGACAATGGGACTCTGCAGATGTTCTGCTTTTGAGCCACCAAAAAAAAAAAAAAAGTAAGCTTCAGTTGTTTACACCCTTACTAGAGAGAAATGATTGGGGGCAGGCAGCACACTGTATCCTTGCCTGGTTTTTTGACAAGTGCACTTACTCTTGAACAGTAAGATTGAAATCAAATAGAAAACGGAAATTGCTCTTTCACATTCTGCTGTCTGACCACCACTCTGAACACCAGTGAAAAAACCTGCAGCTCAGTTCTTGCCAGAGTCCTCCTCTGTTGGAAGCTTCTCCATGCTTCCTGCTCCCAGCTGCTACCACAGCATTTACTATTTCTTGACATTCCAGAACCATCTGCATGTCTTAAGGCCATGAAATTGAACCAGCTCTATGTCCATCAAAATCATTCACCAAAGGCTAAAGCTGCCCTGTGTCAGCATGAGTGTGCTGTGCCTGATGCCCAGGAACCATTCGCACCTTCTGCCATGAGGCTGATGGATTCAGTGAGCAAGATATTAACCTGTACCTTCTTTAATCTACATAACTTGGCACTTGTTGATTAAGTCCACTGGGTCCTCAGTAGCCTGAATTCTCTCTGCATATAAGAGATGGGGTGAATCTTCAAGATGATCTGCTTCAGCAAAGTCATTATTTCCAAATTGCCACTGCTTCTACTTCCTGTGGTTCAGTGGAGTGGAGGAAGAGGCAGGCAAAGGCACTGCAAGCAAAATGTATTAGAAATGGCAGAAGATAAAAAGGCCCCTTGAGATGTGAATTTAACAATGTCTGCAGATTTCCCCTCCCCTGACAAGAAAATGTGCAGGATAAATCTAATTCCTATGAAACTATTTGCTCTTGGGAATATATTACTGGTACAGCTAACATGGTACAAGGCCTGCAAATATGCAGCCTGCTTTTAAAGGTTATTTCGAAATTTAATGCCTGTTACGAAAGCACTGGAAGGGGACCACATGGGGCAAACATGGAATGCAGAGGTGAGAGGTGATTTCAAGGCAGGACTCTCCTGTGCTAAATTGTATCCCGTTCCTCTTTTGCTGGGAAGAGATTCTGCAGATGACCCAAATTGGGAGTGGAGAAAAATGTGGAACAAAAACTTAAACTGCTCCAAGTACCTTTGCCATGAATTGGCCTCCATGATGGGGCATTCATCTATCCAATTATTTTAATGAGCAAAAAGAAGTGCTTTTTGCCCAGGATAAAAAGAGTGCAGTGTCAAAATTGCATATTACAGACATGTACATGGAAAGAAGGTTAAACAGAAGGCTTATCCAAGAGTGTTAGGTGAGCTACTGATGACAGTCTTCCAGATCCCACACGTACTTTCTAAGTGATTGGTCTTCAGTCAGGGTTCAAAATTAGCTTGTCAGCTGGGCTATAGCCCAGATGGTCTCTGAGCACAAGGAGCACAGCGGAAGAAGCATCGAGTGCCAATGATGAAGTGCCTCAGCTCCAGCACAAGCAAGGTAAGGACCCACGTGAGGAGAAGGTAAATGCTATTTACTTATTCATTTATTTATTAAATTGCCTCAGGTAATAATTTAAAACAAATTATCTGCTGAATTCAAAACAAGAGCACAGAAAAAGGAGCTAAATCGCAGAAGGGTAATTTTTACAATTAAAAAAGAAGTTGAGAGCTAAGTCCCAGGAAGGAAATCCAGCAGGAAGTTTTGTTTCTCATGATCGTGCTCTAACAGATTCTTGAGCAGTTAAGGATAAACTAATCATTGTTTAAACTTAACCCAAGCTCACCAAAGAGCAGTAAAAGCAATACATAACTCTCTATTGACAGCCACTGTGCAGGCTTAACAGCTTATAAACAAAAAGTGTAAGCTAGCTTCAGTTTGGGCTCAGTGTAGGCTTATGATATAGGCTTACACTGAGTGTAGGCTTATGATTTAGGCAGCTCAGAAGTAGACTTGTCCCAAGTCTGAGAGTTCAGCATATCATTTAGTTGCTGTTTAAAATCCACACAAATAGGGATATCTTTGTTTAATAAATTGAAGTCTTCAAGTAACCTTACACAATTGTCAGAATTAGAAACACTGTGCCCTTTCCATTTGAGTCATGTCATGGTTCCTAGAGCACTATAGCTCCCTCAGGAAAGTTCCTTCCATTCCCTGCTGTGGGGCAGCCCCTCTAACAGGGGAAAGAAGGTAGTTAGATATCCCTGCCCTTTAGACTACAAACTCATCAAATGCAAAGTTATGTACTGGTTAGGGAAGTCTTCCACCTAGTGACTGGTGATGGTACTGCATGCATTCTACACATGGAAATATTGAAATTAATTCAAGTTAACTCCTCCACACATGCACCCAAACAAATAGCCAGGAGGTGCACAGTTCTATCCAGGAGGTTCCCCTTACTATCATATGCATGCCAAGTTTCCAGTGTCTAGATTTCACAGCAATGGAATTGCAAGTGAAAGACGGACACATCTCCTCTTTTACTATTATAGAGGATGACTAGAGAAAGAGATAGAAAACCACATTCCAGGCTTACTGTGGTGTCACTTGTTAGCATTCTCACTTGGAAGCATTATTAGAGCTGACCACAAAAGATAATTAATGCCCCAAGTAGTATTTCTCTAGAAGGAGACATTGAGGGTTGATTCAAAATGACTATCAGGTTTGCAGTAGCTATTTGAAAAAAAATCCTGTGTGTACCAGCTGTCATGTGCAGCAGTTGCTACATGCAAATTTAAGCCTATTGCATGCCACTGCAAATAACACTTTTCAGGTGTCCGGGGTGACTTGCAAATGCTTTTACCCTTTGCATGATGGCAGCTGCATAGTAGCAGTTGGCAGTGGTCAGAGTGCCAGACTGGGCAGATGTTCACAGGGCATTTGGCAAATGCTTTTGCTCTGATAGCTGGAATGCCCAGGACCTGAGTTTCAGCACTCAGGAAAGGAAATGGAAGGGACTTCATCTTGCTCATACACAAAACTGATGTTGAATGTTTAAAATCAATAACTTCACCTTCTAAAATGTTCCAGAAGAGCTGTAATGATTTTTAATCTATTCTAAATGTCAGAACAAACAACATTTCTCCACAAAGCCTGCACTCGCTGGAGGCAGAGGGATGAGCAGGTGGAAGCCCCAGCTCATGCTCAACTGCCTCTCGGCGATTTATTCTGCATCAGGTTTTGTATCTGTATTGCAAAGTTTTCTACTAGTGCACAAGAGAAAAGGGTGCTTATTTAAAATGCATAAAATGTCACCTGTGTCACCACGTCTGCATAAGTTCCTTTCTTGCTGATTGAAAGGAATATTCTCCAATTGATGAATCCAAATGCCAGTTAAGGCCAACCTAACCCACTTGGCTACTTGTGCTGCTGTAGCTTCACTTTCTCAGTCTGTGTCCAAAGAGCCAAGGTTAGAAATTCGAATAGCGGGACTGGATCACAATCACTGTACAGAACTTGAGCCTCTGCAGAAACACAATGGGAAATCCTTCTATAGCGCTAGTTAGTTGTCCCAGCTGCTCTTGCAGTGAGTCTGATTAGCTGTCCTTGTTTGCAAAGCAAGAGAGGCTGTGGCTGAAGTATGGTCTGCACTGGAAATTTTCTATTTCTGGAGGGAGAACAATAGTTAATGTGAGATTTTCTGTCTGGAAGAGAGGACAATAGTAAATGGTTATGGAAGGGAACCAGTGATGTGGGAAAGGATGCCATAAGGAACCTAGTGGCCAATGCTGGCTATCTGATTTAAGAAAGGATGTGACTTCTCTGAGAGGGCTGCAGTGGTCCAGTTGTCATGCGTAGCATTACTCAAATGGAATGAGTGCAGTGTTTCTAATTCTAAAAAAATGTGTAAGTTTGTTTGAAGACTTCACTTTATTAAACAAAGACATTTCAACCTATGAGAACCTGGGTCCATTTACTAGTATAATAAACAAAGAGCCATGGAATCACAAATCAGTTCAATAGTTTTGGTTCAGGATCCTTTTTATGTCTTTACACTTTTTCACACATTAGGTTTGTACATCTGTGCCAAAGATTTTAAGTGTATGTCACCAACACGAGTTTGCAAAAATGTATGTGTCATACAAGCACGCCGACCAGGGAGGCAGAATCAGCTGATTTGTTAGTTTCAAATTTGTTCTGCACAATCCAGGCTGTCTCCTTCTCCATGCTTCGGACTCTGCTTATAAATGAATAACCCAATCCTGTCTTGCAAAGCTGTTAGCCTTGATTTTTGCAAAATGTATGCTGCTGGTTCCAGCTGGAGATGAGGCTTAGGAAAAGGGGATTCTCAGACATTTTGCAAAATGAAATTTGCTTGAGTATTTTTTAGAGTGCTCATTTGATTCCTCCCCCCCCCCCCATTGCTAGCTATGGAAACTGTTGCTTTGGAAAGGTTACAGCATCTCTAAGTACTGCTTTTTTTAAATGTGGTACTTATTACCTTTAAACTCATCAGCAATAGTTAAAATTTGAGTCTTTTTAAATGTTAAGGCACCATTTCTGTGGAGAATGAATTCATGCAGAGATTGGAACTAGAGCCATGCATTCATAGGGTCACCTAAGTCAGAGATGACTTGATGGCATATAACAAATGTCTCATCAAAAATCAGTCCAATTAATGTTAATAGGCTTTACTTACAGTATGCTCTAGGAATCCCCTTCTGGAAATTAAAAAATAGATGTTCTGTCTCTAGCATCCATGTTTTAGCTGACCCAACCAAAAGGTTCTTGTAAAAATCATATGACAAAACAGGACACATGACCCACACTAAGTGCTGCCAACTCCAAAATTTACCAGCAGCTACTGCTGAAGCGCATGACAGAGAGCAGCAGTATGATGCCATTTTCGATTCAGGTTACATCCCACCAGAAATATCTGGGAGGCCAGAACAGCAGAATAATAAGGGAAAGCGGGGAACATGCTTCATTTTAGGGCCAGTCTAGTTCCGGTATATATCACATGACTAGGTCCTGCACAGCTGTTTTTTCTTCAACTGATAGCTGGCATGGAGCATGAACAGCACTGGTGAAGTGGAGTGGGGGGAGCGGATAGAAATCCCCCCCCCCGCATTAGTTCTTTGCAATGGAAGCAATGCTTCTGTTGGCACCCCCAGAATGATTCCGACTGGGATGCCACCTGTGAGTGATGGTTATTATGGGAGGTGTCAACTGATGGGGCAGGATATTAAAGCAACACAGTTGCTGTGCGCCGTCCACCAACTTTCTCCACATATCAGCAGAAGTGAAATGAAATTGCCTCTGCTGCTGGCTATGGAGAGCTGGTATCTCACAGCCTCTAATCAGGGAAGATATGACATTTCTTATCTGTTAAGTAAAATGGTGCTGCGCTTCAATCCATCCAATTATTTTTTCCAATAAGTGTAAGTGAAAGTGCAGTTGTAGGGTGGGGGGAGACGCTGACAGAGCGGGGCTGGGCAAATGTATTAGAATCAAGAATAAGCTGGCAGTATAAGGAAGCACCGCACCTGCCTTGGTGCCACACACACAACCTATTAGCCAGATAACTTGCCTTGAGCGCTTAATTCATTGGAACAAGTCAAAGAGCTATTACAAATCACAATGTGTCTGGCTAACTAGTCACAGAGGAGTCTAGGCTTCTGCACTATCAGAGGCCAAGATAAATGAGGGTGAAAAGAAGGGTTGATAAGTTTAAGAGGTCCCTGTGTAGGGCAGCTTGAACCTTCCTAGAACTACTCATCAAAATAATTCAAAGATGAGTAGGGAAAGTACTGCCAGAAGGATGTTCAGAAGTTTCTTATCAGAGGTAAGCCAAGCCACTGTGTTTATGGAAGGTATATATCACTTCTGCTCATAGAGGAAATCCAATATACAGAAATGTTTAATTACTTAATGTCAGGGTCATATTGCTATATAATTCATTCTGGGCTTCTCTACATGAAGCTTTTAATCTGCCGCTTTACTGAGGCTTCTGCTTCTAGATTCTTAGCAGGATCAGCTACTGTATATGTGTTTTTCTTTTTCTGAATTTTTTTCTTACTCTGCCTTTCTATAAGTTCCATTATGCAACCAGAGGGTGGCATAGCAGTACTGTGAAAATGCATGAGCTATTGTTTCTGGTTCATTCTGCCATTTTCAGGTAATGCTACACTGCTCATTTTGAAAAAAGCTCTGGGAATGCTTGGAAAGCACAGGACAGGCCCTGGAGGATGATAATGCCATGCAAAGCACCTGCAGAGGTGGCGCAAGCCTTTGCTGGCTGGGCAGCATTAAATGAGGGCCAACAAAACCACTCCAGTGATGGTGGAACTGCTGGATTTGGTGCATTTGCATAGCTGAAAGCAAAGTTTTTGTTTACGGAATATCACTGTCATATGGAAGAGAACTATGGCTATGATGGACTGGGCGGGAAGCGGTGGTGAGGGATGGTGTCTGAGGAGAGGCTGGGTCCTAAGCCTTGCTGGTTCTGATTGGGTGCTGCTCCATTTTTAAAACTTGTCTCTCTTGAGGGGAGGGGAAATGGCTTGGCCAGCTCCAGAGTCAGTGCAGTTTCTCCCCTGTGTCAGGAGCATGCTATGGAAACAAGGCGGCTCTCAATTTTGTGGATCCAAGGACTAGGCGTGTCTCCTGATATGTACCCAGAATTTCCCCTCCCATCCCATCAAAGCACAGTCAGTGCTACATAGGATCCTTCTGTTGGCAACCGAGGCTCCTGGGGGCTCCTCCAGGGTCACAAGTGCTGTCCTTGCCAGTGAAGCAGCACTTCTGCAACTTCCTACAGCCTGTTCACAGCCATCTAATTTGTATTGCACCAGTTTAATCACTGATACCGATAATATCAGTTCACACTGATATGTTAGAGTCTTCAACTTTCATTTAAATACTAGTGATAGTTGAGTCTGATCATACAGTTGAAGAGTTAAAATGTAAGGGAATCAAAGTTCAGACTAGTGTCATTCCTCCTTCAAATTCCAATGATCATGAAAAACAGCGATGTCAATAAACCTGCATGAAATACCCTGTAGGAATGTTACTCAGACTGTACAACCATTAATCTTATATTTCTTTATTCGAGTTCATCAAACACTTTCTCAGTATCAATAACATGTGAAGATAGCCTTAAGAGTTTTTAAAATAATAAATTAGGTGTAAAACTCTACTTATAGAATTGGTTTTCTCTTCAGTTCAAAATGTATTTGATCTATATATAGCTATGATCTTAGGAAGCTGCCGTATATGGAATCAGACATTTGCTCTGAGTGTCTCAGTTCTGTCTAAGATTGACACAAACTGAAGAGGGTCTCCAAAGTTTCAGAAAAGCATTTTTCTCTGGCAGTACTGGACACCATCTGCATGTAAAGTACAAGCTCTACTACTAGATCATGTGCTCTTAATCTAACCACCATAACTGAAGTGAATATGTTATCACTACTGTATAAAATAATGTCTTCTGTTATACTCAGTCCTTGATTTATCTTTATTTGGTTTGATCAACATTATTGTGGCCAGGCTTCCAAGAAAGCGGAAATATGTTTTAACTATTCACCGGACATCATAACCAGCACTGGTATTGATTGCCGTGCCATCTGTTAAAAACTAAATCCCCATTCTCAGGTATTGTGCTGGTGTTTCTAAACCAGTAACCTTAGGTATGTTTAAACTTGAATGGACATTTAGAATAGAATTACTACCTGGATTTTAAAAAATAAATTACAAAAACTATAGACCCAAAATAAGTTGGATCTAGAGTTCCAATAAGCAAAACACCACTCATGGGCTACTCCCATTTGAGGGAGAGGGAACACCAATTCTTGTCAAGTAGCCCTTTCCACTGCACCCTCCTGTGCTCCCTGAAAATCTGCTTCAAATGGCTGGGGACGCTCCAGAACAGTGTGGAATGTGGTGCAGGGGGCTGCATTGGAAAGGCAACCCAAGACAAGGGGCTTCTCCATTCGTTCTGGATTGGAAGGATTACAGAGTCCCATAGGCTCTGCACTGGAGGCCTCCCCTTGGATTACAGTCCTATGGATGGAAGGAATCCTTCTGTTTATGGAAGAGCAATTTAATGTAGATTTGGTACTTGTTTCTGAATTAGTTTTAGCAAATAATACTTCAATTCTTCTTATTGGAATAAGCTTCTGGAACACATCATCTTAGTAGCTATTTTCAGTTTATTTATGTGTGTGTTCTTCTGATTCTATTAAACCCTTCAATTACATGGCTACCCTTCTGATCTTCAATTTCTTACGGTATAAATGAATGTTATTGTTTCCTTCATTCCAATCAAGACACCCTTTGTTTTGATATTCACCAAAGCTTGATACAGACAACCTTTCATCTCTTTTTCCCTCAAATGCTTCTCATCTCTATTCTGAGTATGTATTTCATGCCTCATGACACCAATCTTATCAAGCCATTTTCCTTCAATTATAGGGATTGTTTAATCCTTGCTTTTTTGTTTAGATCTTATTTGCAATATCTATGACTATTTAAGTAACGCACAAGGGTTATCAATAATTAATACTGCTGTCTTAAGAACTTTATTTAACCAGCAATTCTGCTCTCTTTAAGATTTCTTCTCAGGTCAAGGCTTTCTCCTTTGACTTTCTCACCATATGGTGAGGAGCACAGACTCATGTAGCGCTCCACCCCTGAGGTCCTGTGACCTTGGAGCCAGGATTCTGAAAGCTGAGCCCCTATCCTGTCCCCTTGTGACTAACACTGGCTGCCTCTCCCAGGATGCACAGGGGCCTTGGAGAGTTTGAAAAGGGGTGTTCTGGGGAGAGCAGGGAGGAGAAGGTTGGGCCCTCCACACTTGAACCTCATTCCCTCCTCTTCCTTGGTGCTCAATCTAGATGAAAGAAACAGCCATCCAGCTCATCTAGATGTTGTGGGGCACAGAGGTGGAAGCCTTCCCCACCACCATGGCTCCCTCCCTGCATCTGAATCAGAGGGCGTTGGATTGGGCCCTGACTGAAGTGTCTTTAGCTCTGAGGCAATGATATTTCCGATCATGGGTTAGGCATTGCATCAGATAGCAGTTCCGCCTCTTACACTGTCGTAATCATCACCCAGATCTTTTTGTGAAATACAACACAATCAAATTCACTGGAGTCTTATACCACCTCCCTGAAATTGCATGTAAAGGGCAAACAAATCCCATCCAAGTATAATCTGATGAGATCTGATCTAGCAGTGACTGCTCAGGGTTATGATGGACAGCTCAGTGACAATGCCATCCCAGTGCATGGCTGCTGCAAAAAAAGGCATCCTCCACGTTTGGCAGAATTAGAAAGGTGTTGAAAATAAAACTGCCAAGATCATATTCCCCCATACAATTCCTTGGTGCAACCACACTTAGGATATTGTGTACAGTTCTTGTCACCACATCTGAAAAAAGTCATTACAGAGTTGGGAAAAGTACAGACAAGGGCAACTAAAATGATCAATGGGCTAGAGCAATTCCCCTATGAGGAATGGTTACAAAAGCTGAGATAGAGTAGCTTAGAAAAAAATGAGTAAGGGGAGGCATGGCAGAGATGTTCAAAATTATACATGTGTGGAGAAAGTGGGGAGACAGAGATTTTTCTCCTTGTCCCATAATACTAGAAACTGATTTCTCATGAAACTGATTGTTGAGAGATTCAGAAGAGATAAAAGGAAGTACTTCTTCACACAGCACATAGTTAAACTGTGGAATTCACTTCCACAAGAGGGTACCAATTTGGATGGCTTTAAAAGGGGGTTGGACAAATGCATGGCAGAGAAGGCTGCTAGTCCTGATGGCTCTATACGACCTCTGCTATCTATGTGTACCAGCTGCACAAAGGGGAACGTTATCAGGAGGTGCTGTTGTACTCATATCCTGCTTGAGGGATCCTGTGGACGGCTGCCTTGCCGCTCTGTGAGCAGAATGCTGAGCTAGAACCAGCATGGCTTTTGTTATGTACTTGTCATAACTGTCACAGTAATGGATTTACATGAGTGGGTTTTGCTGCAAAAATTCAGCAACTCATCAATTTTGTTCTCCACAATTATGAGCCTTTCTCTTCTACTTCCCTTCAATCTTAGAATCATAGAATAGTAGAGTTGGAAGGGGTCATGAAGGCCATCGAGTTCAACCCCCTATTCTTGTAGGACACCAATTTACACCATCCCACTCAGATGGCTGTCCAGTTTCTTTTTGAATCTCTAGTGTGTGGGAGAGCCCACCACCTCTCTAGGCAGCTGGTTCCACTTAGTTGCTTCCTCTGTGTTCCTTAATTGCTTCCTCGATGTTTCTATTTATTTATTTATTTATATCCCACGTTTTACAGTGGTTTAGGGTGGGGATACAAAAGTCTTTGTATTAAAAGCCTTTGGTCTCCCAGTCAGCAGAGTTTTGTGGAGGAGGTTTTTGAAATGAATCTCCAGTCACTTCATAGACTTGCCATAAACTTTTCCACTTTGAAAAAACATCATTGCCATCATCTTGTATCCAAAGAAAACACTATAACTTTTCAGTTATCCTGTATGCTACCTCTCCATCCCTTGGCTCTAATGTTCAGCAACATCAATGATCTCCTCTTTCAACCCTACTCCAAACAAGGCTAAAGATAGAATCAGGGGCAGGACTATTAGCCACCAGAGACTTAAGAACTCATTAATGTTCCAAGTAGCCAAATCAGTCTCACTTCCCTCTCACTTGCATCACATTTCTAATCCTCTTAACACCATCCTCACTCTGGGACACAGAGATGCTAACCCCTAGTAAGATATAACCATCTGGCTGAGAAGATAACATGTTTACTTCTTACCTTCTCTGCCCTTCTGTGTGCTTTGCTACTGGTGTAATTCTGGCAATATAGAGAGTGATTTGATAAAGGATAACTATTATCATAAACTTCTGTGTCCCTGACATGACGTTGCATTCTGTAGGATCCTTCTGTGCTACATCCATGTAGGAATCTATGCCATGGGGGCAGGGGTGAGAAACCTATGGATTTTTCTGACTTCTGTTCCTCACTCCCCCATTCTCCTTCATGGAGTTAACTCGAGTTTAGTTGAGCCTGTGCATGGATTTCCTTTTTTAAAAAAAAACTGGTAGCAATTTGCACATTTTTAAAGTTTGCTCTTGAATTGTGTATACATTGTAATTTGTGTGGATTGAATTTTTAAAAATTGGTCTTTCACAAGTGCATATCTGTACACTTATGGGAGTCTGAAATGAAGTCTTCCCTGGCCAATGTCCTTTGAAGTATTTCCTCTAGCTTTTCTATGTAGATCTGATAGTTCTACAACCTTTAAGTGCTCAGGAAGATAGAAGAATGGAAGCCTACCCTATCCTCAGGGAAAATGGTGTTTTGACAGCTAACAGCTGTCAAAGGAAAGTTTTTCTTTTAAAACAGGCCTTTTGACAGGGTTAAGAAGGATATTTTAAAAGGGGGGGGGCATATGTATTTCAGGGCTGTATATATCCCTATCAAAAATCCTGTTTAGCCCTGACAAAAACACTATTTTAAAAGAAACCCTTACTTTTGACAGCTGTTGAAAGTAAATGTTCCCATAACTGATGGAGGTTGCACTTTCCCACTTTCCTGAGCACTGAGAGCATGAGAAAAGTAGAGGACATTGAGAACTATCAGGTCCACATGTAAAAGCTCACCATGAAGTGGATGGTATACATGCTACCTCCTTTTGTGAGCAAAGATCCATTTGCTCACAAAATCAACATCTTTGAAGTCTTGTTTTATTAGTTTTCCTGGATTGCTTCTCCAGCAGTTTGACAGACAACACTTCCTAGGCCAGATTTGTCCCCTCCTTTCCTTATTGAATATCATCTGCTTTCACAATATGCTTTCATACATTTATGTGTTTATTTATTACAAAAGTTATTACTCATTTTTCATTATAAAATAATCCCCAAGTGGAGTACAAAGCAATAAAGCACATTAAAATCATGCAGACAACAACTAATAAAACATTGTTCCCCACCATACCAGTTATACCAATAATTTCTTAATTCCATAATAAAGCAATGAACTTTGTGAAGCAATTATTTTGCAGTTGAGCTGCTGTAAAAGGTTCTTTGTGCAGCTGCAGCTAAAGCAGGATCTTAGCCACAGCAAGTGGAGCCAAGTCATTCTCCTTAGTCTTACTGGTTGCATACAGGAGGAAAACAGGGCACAGACTATGCCACTGTGTCCTGATTCTGAGCCAATAAGCAGCCCATGTCATATCACTTGAAAGAGTAGCATTGGTCTCAACTCATCCAACATACTGGAATTGTGCCTAGTGGAGTGTGGTTGGTAGTTCTGCTCCAGTATGTCATCACCTACTGCAAGCATGAGAGAACAAATTATTCTTTTGCAGTGATACTTCATAGGGTGATTCACAGGATTAGAATGCAAATTTCCATGATCTGTTTGAAAGCACAATACCTGATGGAGCGCCACTCTCCCAACTGTCGTCTACCTGGACACTGCAATCAACATCCAAGACCTTCTTCTGAAAGTCAGCTCCAGGGGAAGTAATGGCAGGGTTGAGGGGCTCTCCGTGGCAACCTAAATATGGCACAGAGGCCCACCTAACTGCATCTTAGTCATCCTCTTGACACCAGGTTAAGGTAGTCCTCTAAGACATCCAATGGTGTGAGGCAAGTACATATCAGGTCTGCTTTGCACTATATATTGCCTTAACTGTTAAATTGCTTTTAAATGTTGTATTTTGCATTTTGTGGTGTTTTATTGAATTGTCTTTGTTTTACGAACTGTTGCAAACTACTCAGAGAACTTTGGCTATTTGGCAGTACAGAAATGAAAATAACACTAATGCTAATATTAATGATGACAAACTCTTCTGTCTAAACATTCACAGGATTGCACCCGAAGGCCCGTGTGAGCAGCCCTCCAGTACAGCCTTCCTCCAGTGCCCAGGCTGCTGCCAAATGCTCCCCCAGTGTTGCTGCCACCATGATTTTGCTGGGAAGGACACTTTGTGCTTCCTCTTTTAAATTCTGCTTTGTCCTGTGCATGGAGAGTAACCCTGGCTCACTGTCTTCCCCATCTGAATTGTGCTCACAACTGTTCAATGAGTCACCTAGAGCATGCTTAAAGCGTGTTGCTTGTCTTGCTGTGATGCAGTCTGTTATTACACTAAAGGTTTTCTAAATGGAGTTATGCAGTGTGTGAGGCCAACTGAGGGCCTCTCTACATTAGGTATTTAGCCCAGCACTTTACTGAGGCTTCTGCATCCAGAATTTTTTCAGGATTAAGATGGGCCCATTCTCTCTCCACCTTTCTGTATATTCAGTTACACAACCACAAGGGGGTAGCACAGTACAGCAGAACTGCAAAAATATACCTGCTCCTCATTCCAGTTCATTCTGCCAATTCTGGATCATACTGCATTTACCTTGCTCTAATAAAGCCACAAAAAATAAAGCTTTGAGAGCGTGGGAGAGGCCCTGGAGGATGCTGGTGTCATAAAAAGCACCTGCCAAGCACCACGAATGAGGACTCCTGAGTGCACAAATAAATGCCTTGTGTGGAGAAAGCCTGACTTTCTCAGCAAGCATAGCTCTGTTATTGCTTTTATCACTTTCCTTGTTCTGAACGCTGCTCCAAACACACTTCCCTCTTTGGCACCATCTCATGACCCCCTTGCTTCCTAAGCCCCTTCATCTTACTTGTCCGTCATGGGCTAAATGCTCAAGCTGATGGCAGTCAAGGAGGTCTGCGTGCAGTAGAGTGTGATGGGCTGGGAGCTGCAAGCAAACATATGACACTTCCCTTCATGTCTCCCTCTCATGCAAACACATCTGAACAGCATGTGAAGATGTTTCACACTCCCGTCCACCTTTTTCTCCATTTACGCCTACTAACAGGAGATGTTGCAGGTCCATCCACTGTTTTAGCAGACCTTTTACACCCTTGGTTAGTAATACAAAGAGCTAATTAAATCCACATGTCTCCTCTTCAACAGAAAGGCCAGAGGGAAGGACCCTGAGTGGGGAATGCAAACTGGGAATGAGGATCAGCAGAAGATAGGTGCATGGCATGACCAAGAAAAAGATGAAGCGGAGGAAATTTCACATGTCAGTTTGAGCTATCCAGCCAGAGCTTTGCTACAGCCACCCATGAAATCCTAATTGCAGAAGTTGACTTTTCTGTCTACTCAGCCTCAGAGCCCAGTTACATTATACCGTTCATGTAAAAAGTAGACCCATGTAGCCAAGCTGTTATGGATTTGGGGTCTGGGGATTGGTAAAGCAAACTGAAAGAAATAACAAGCAAACACAGAAGTAGGAGATAGTCACCAACTTTCTCCATTAGTTGATTCCCTATTTCTCTCCTTGCTGCCTAAATTTCCTTAAAAGTTGCGAGGAGGAGCAGGGAAATTTAGCTGCTAAGTGGCGATAAATAGTGAAGAGAAGGACGGAGAGAATAACCAGGTTTCTCTAATTGCAAAGTGTACTGGTCACATGCTGGGGGGATTAGCATAGTTATTCTTGGTAGCATGGCTTGCTGCTTTGTATGAATCCGTCAAGGGTGGCTTGTTACCATGGTCAACAAGCCTTCCAAGAATTCTAAACAGCCCATGTTTTCTGGGGAGCATGTTAAACATGCAACAAACTACCTCTACCTGGCTCACATGACACAGAAGCCTGCACCAGCAAAGATACAACTGTGCAATGTGCCAGGATGCAGTTCAGCATATGCAGTGGGGAAACTAAACCACTTTGGCTTATTTCCTTCTCTGTGATTGTGTAAACAGGCCCATAGGTAGTAGATCTTGATCCCTTGTGTGTCTGTGTATGATCACCAGGCACAGCTTGAGTGCATACGGATGTGTTTTACCTCATGATGCAAATATTGCTCACCTTTGAGAGTAGTTAAGTGGGCAATTATACAAGAAAGAGCCTTGTTAGCAGTGGCTCCACATCTCTGGAACAAGTGGCTAGGGATGGTCTGTAAAGGGTTTTTAGAAGGACCCAGATACTCATTTATTCTCTCTGGTCTTTTCCTGGTTATGTTTTATTGGACTGTTCTGGCTTTTTAGCTGTAATTGTGCTTAGACTTTTATTACTATCTCGCCTATATATTTCATTGTGGGTGTTAACGAATTTCTTTCTTTCCTTTTTCCTTTTTTTCTGTTTTTAGTATATGGAAGCTTATTTTAAGCCACCTTTCTCCTGCTCTGAAAGAAGGACTGGAAATATTTCAGGTAACAAATTCTCACATATAAATAAATCTCTCCCATTCACTAGTATGTGAAAAATATAACACTGCACCTGAGTACTCCATTTTGCAGTAGAGGTAAAACCTATCTCCATTCCATGATATTAGATGCCTCATCCTCTGCCGCCAAGGATCCTGCAATGAATGTAATTGGTCTGTATTTGCAGAACATACAAAGATACATTGCATAGATGCACATAGCACTTCCAAATCATAGCAATATTCAAGCCTTTCCTTTACATATTCTGTTCTTCACCTGTCCTAAAGATTGACATGTTGCTAGTTTTAGTTAACCAATAAAAGTCAGTTGTGATTTGTTAATAGACTGATTTTTCATTCCTCTCAATGAACTTTAGGGAAATCAGTAAAACATGAATTCAGTGTGCTGCAGTGATACTCTAGCAATTTGCCAACTCTATATTACTCTCAGCTACTAATGGAGTTTGGATTTGACTAAAATAACTGTGTTAGAAAGATTGTTTTATTTTTCCCTTGAGGAAACTGACTTTTACTCCAGTTCTCATCCTCCAAGTCTGCTGACAGAATGCTTTGGTCTTCAGTGACCAAACCACTTAGTCCAAAGTAGTCCCACTGAAACCAGTAGCTCAGAGGATTTGGTCTGAAGAGCGTAGTCTCCAGCAGCTGAAGTCTCTTCCCATTCTGGATAATGGGGCTGACACTGGCTCAAAGGGAACATTGAATTGAGCAAATCTAATTTCTGCAAGCTGAAGCCCAATTCCCATGATGAGATTTCAGCTGCATGATAGAAAGGGTCATATGTCATTTTCTGCTCTGTGAATATTTTCAGGCATTTCACCTTTAGGCCTGGCAAAGATGGACAACATCTATGAAATATGAGGGCAAAAGAATAAGGACTTTCCTTGATACTATCTAGATCTATTTATCAGAAATAATAGTGTTAACTCATGCTGCCATTTTTTGTTTTCTTTTGATGTGTGCTTTAAAAAGATAGATCTCTTTATTTAGTACATGTCTGCACAGATCGCTGTGTGCTTAAAAAGAAAGAAAAGAAAAAAGAAACCATCTTTGTTTGCTCACAAAATGCTTTCACCAAGTTCTGGCTATGCAAATCGACATGGAAAATGTGAAACGACGTGATTTTTATTTTTATGCTAAAGAGCAAAGGAGCAAATGGTGGTAAGCCAGGTACGCAGACATGCCTTTAACGCAGGGATGAGCACTGCTTTGGCAAGCGCGTCACAGCACACAAGTGTTCCTGAGCTGCCCTCTCCGGATGCGGACTTGTCACTCATTGCTTCTCCTTGTTCTCATGCCATCCCTTCCTGTGGGATTTCCTGCATGTTGCTTGACGCTTCTGTCCCCATGTAACAGCTGAACTTTTTGTGCTTGCACTCTGTTTCTTTTGACCTGTAGAAGCAGCACACCGAGGCAGAAAGTTCCTTCCCCTGCTCCTGCAGCAAGAGAGTCACCCCCTACAAGGTGCTGCTCTGGGCAGATGCACAAAGGGCCCTTCTGCAAGAGCACTCCCTTGACCTTGAGCAACAGCTGCATATTTGTCCTTGTTTATTGTGCATGGAGTAGAAACAAATTTAAAAATGAGGCTAGAGTCTCATTTTTGACTGATATTTACTATTTAATAAGGTAGGTCATTATAGGGAGGGAGGAAAACAGATTGAGATGGTACTAGAGAAACAAGTTCTGCATTATGTTCTGTTAAAGCATATAATACTGTGGTCTGAAAGTAGGAAAAGCTGGAGATGTGTTTTTCAGCTCCAAAGAAATACCCCTCCCTTGCACAGTTTTATTTCTGTTTCTCATTTTTCAGTGCATGTGTGGTATCTTCTAAAAGTCTATATTCTGCTTGGGTAGAAATGAGTGTGGTCTGTGGTTCTCTCCCTGCACCCTGATCAAATGTGTGACAAGGAAATCCAGCCTGATCAAATGTACAGGTTCAGTAAAGATCCTACAGTGGATGAAAGCTTTTCTTTAACAGTGGTCTCTATTTCAGCACTGTGTCCCTCTCCCAAGAAATTCAGGGAGGCTGTTTGCACATCACACCTTTAGACATTTGCAGAAGTTCTAATGTGGCCATGGCAGAGAAGTATGGAAACAGAAAATGTGAATAACTAGCAGTTGCCCTTCACCTCCTTTCTACATCTATCTCATGCTTGAAGCCAGTTTAAGAAATTTACATTAGCTTGGTGAAAGGAAAGGCATGAATGGAGACAAGATTGCAACCATGCCAATTATTAGAAGTTCACAAGGTTACGTTCAGACCGAAGGTCTATCTTGTGCAGCATTCTGCGCGTACAGTGGCCAGCTATGGGCCTATGGGAAATCTGCAATCAGGGTAGGAGAGCCCCCTCCTGTTCATATTCTTTAGTAACTGGTGTTTGGAAGTAGACTGCCTCTGACACTGGAGTAATCTCTAGCCATCGTGACCACTACCCAATGTGGCCATGAATCGTGTTCTCTATGAATCTGTAGAGTCCCCTTTTAAATCTGTTCAAGTTAATGAGGTTCACAATGTCTTGTTTCAGATTCCCTAGGCTGGTTATGCACTCTGTGAAGATATGCTTTATTTTTAATCTGTAAAGACTGAATTTGAATTCCAGGTGGAGAGGTAAAAAATAAATAAATAAAAGGAAGCTATTGCTATTGTTCCTTGTCCTCCCAGTTACCAGAATTTGTGATTTTTGCAGGGATATTGCAGTTCCTAGCATTAAGCTGTACTAATTTGTACCAGGCAAAAAGTAGTTTGAATGTTTCTGTTCATTTCTCCTTTATCAGAAGAGATGGGTAAAGGAAATGGAAAGTCCGGTATTTAAAACCACCACAAATCTGTTTATGGAAGATCTACCTTCGGGAATAATGTAGCGGGAGATGCCCTGCCTTGATGCCAGCTGGACTTGTCGCCTTTTGAATGCCCTCCCAGCTCTATCAGGCTGTTAATGTTGCTGCTGTCTACTGTGGGATAAAGGTATACAACCGTTGTAGAATTTTTGTCATTAAGTAAAGCACATTCCAGCCATTAATACAAGTAATTAATTGACGCTGAAGTGTATTGCACTGGTCTGTACAATTTTTAGGAAAAGGGCCAAGCAAAGGGATTTTTAAAAGATAAAATGATAAAGGAAAAAAGAAGACTGTTTCCCAGAGTGTCACCACTACATGATGGGGTGGAGGCGGAAGGTGAGCATCCCTTCCTGAGCAAGGATTTTGCATTTTTCAGATCCTTGCCATGGTTGGTTCACTGAAGGATGGCACTCCTTGTGCTGCTGCAGTTCCCAGGCAAGGAAGGATTTTGAGGCATGCTTACAGCAGCTTTGTCAGTTTGACAGGAGTGTTTTTGTGATGGCCTGTCAGCTCCTGATAACAGGAGCACCCTCATGCTTTCGCGCACAAGGCCCCAGCACAATAAATCCCAAGCTGTTGTCTAAGGTTGATTGGTGAAGAAGACGAAATCGAGACTTTGCTGCTCTGGCTTTACAGGTGAACCAGGAAAGACAGCCTGAAGAGAGGTGGTGACTTGTGAAGTCCCTAATCCCCCTGCTTAGTCCATCTGTGCAGAGTTACTGTAGTGTTTCTGGCCTCGGGGGACTGTAGATCGGAGGTAGGGGGAAGGAAAGAAACAACTGTAACAAGGAAACAAAATAGGTGTGGGGAGAAATCTCACCCTCTTATCTCAGGTAGGCATTGCCCATGATACCAAAAGCTGTTTGCAATCTTGTTTGTTGGGGTAGGATGAGGGGGGCTGCCTCAGACAGCTGATTCGGAATATCATGAATGGGGAGCAAATTATTCACTGTTGAATTTATTGGAGTTGTATTTTTACTCTCAGAGAAGGACATTTATGCCTTTCCTGTCTTAGGCACCAATGCTATGTTAGCCTAAGACAGGTGCCAAAGCTACAGCAGGCTTTGACTTTGGAGTGCTGATGGTTGTGTTGGTGCCATTTACTGCTCTGCCTCAGGAAGCAAAATGTCCTTGGAAAGCCCTTAGTATGGTGGCCAGCTCCTGCTTTGCTGCAAGCCAGTGGCCACAGCTGTCCCTAGAGAGCATTGACTCAAATCTTCATAAACTGACAGGGCAAGGACCCAAAGACTCCCTGTGTAGTAGCGAAAGATTTCAGGGATGGGGCAAATTGGGCAGAATGAGAAGGACTCTGCCGGACATCCTCAGCAGTGTTATCCTCAGGCAGCTGAACAGGACTGCCCAAGGACTCCTTTTCCGGCACTCCAATGAGTACCAGGCTGTATCACTGGAGAGCATTGTGGTTTATGGGCAGTTGCAGTGGTGGCAGCCTATTATGAGCTTTTCTGCATGATCATCGCATCATCATTCCCTTCTCACAAGTGGAATCTTTAAAGGCTGTAGTGACTTTCCAATTTAACCATCATCATGTACCCTACTACAATCTGAGAATTGTGCAAGGGTTGTTCTACCATTGAATAACCCATGGTGGCCTATTGGGGACTGCACATTCATATGACGGCCACCTGTACCCAACCACATGCTATGGCTGATTGTGGGTTAAATAACCCATGGTGAGCCCAACATGTTATGCGAACCAGATCAACAGAGAGTGTTTCCCAGAGGAGCACTGCCACCACTGCCACAATCACCTCTATCACCATCTTCCCCAACAGTTAAATCCATTGTCCAGCCCTGTGCCTGGATATAAATAAAAAGAATGAGAGAGGCTGCAATAAAGACTGTTATATTAACAAAGCAAAGCAAAAACAATAGGACATGCTAGCCAACTTAAAATGCCTGGGAAAGTAGAAAAGTTTTGGCCTTCACCAAACACCAGTGCAGAGTTAGTGCCCCTCACATCTCTATAGGGAAGGCATTCCAACTGAGTACCATAACAAGGAAAGCTCTCTGCCTAGTTACCACCTAACATGTGGATGGCTGGAAGGTAATTTGAGATGCACCTCCCCTACAGATAATAAAGATGCTTCCAGACTGGGGTGGGGGCAGGATCCTGGCACCACCAGTTGACAAGAAGTATGCAGCTATTCCATCTTTTCATCCTTACCAGATTTCCTCTAAAAAGAAAAAAGATGGAAGGAATGATGGGAAATACAAAAGGTATGCAAATGGAAATTGATGTAAAATTATGGGACTGCCTGTAAAATTGTGAATGAGGCAGGGCAATTACAGAAGAAAAGTGTCATCTGGCAGACACAGATAGGCTGATATAGGAGAAGATGTCCTTTCAGGTATTTTGGTGCCAAGCAATTTTGGGCTTTAAAGGTAAGCACAAACGCTATGAAGTTCCATGCTGTGGAATTCCCAAACCTGGAACAAGTCTTGGGAAGGAAATTACTGGGGGTGGAGGGTTACATTTGCAAGTGTGCAAACCTGAGTAGATGAGAATTTGTGGCTCATAAATGAGGAATGTGTGAACTCACAAAATGGCTGAGCTTCTCAAGCCTGTCATCATAACCATCCAGGAACTCAGATAACTAAGGCAGAGAATGCAACTGCTGTTTTCTGGAATGAGAAAAACCTGTTTTTTCTGCAGCCAAGTTAGGGATATGGGGTTTTATCTATTTTCACTGTGTTGGGGTCTTTTCAGGAATATTCAGTGATTAGAAAGAACCATGACCCTGAATAGACATGGACACATGATACATGCTTTTACTTTTATTAAAGCCCCAACTTGGCATGCAGGGACATTTTTCCCTGCTAGCCATTAGAATAATTTGTATGAAGAACACTGTGACTATATGATTAGTGTTGCCAGCTCTCCCAGGAAAAAGCCTCCAGTTATTGCCCATTTACATATATTAATTAATTTAAGAGATTTAATTTAATTTGTATGCAAATTTTAATTTGCCCAATGTCTAACATTGAGGTTAAGGAGGGAAATGGCCAGAAGGCAAGCAGAACTCACAAATATACTACAAATCAGTCATTTTTTTAAAAATTACCCATGTGCCAAATGAGGCAGGAGGGCATTGTTATATGATAGTATACGTGGGTGTGGAGTGAGGGTGTTTATTTGTCTAGTTCACAGCTGGAGTCTGCGGAGGACCACTGCCCAGAAGCTGGCTAGGAAGGCCTGAGGTCTTGACTAGGTCTCAGCTGTAGCTCTAGGGCTGTACAGATGGGTACCCCAGACAGCAGCGGCATGGAGTCGTCCGCAGTGCAAGCACTCCCACTGCTCAAGGTGTGCCACCACATTGCCATCTCCAACCCTCAACCGTTTCCTTTTCTGGCCTCATGCCCCTCCTAACTCCTGCCCGTATCATTTCTTCCCTCCTTGCATCATGTCCCCTACCTGCATCTGTGGTGACCTGATACCTGTGGACACCCAGTTAGGGGAACAAGTTCTAGTGCAGTGGTGCCAACACTGGAACCAGCTGCCACCACCAAAAGTAAAACAAATTCGGTCTTCTCTGTCCCCAAGTGCTCTCGGTCTCTTGGTCATGACTGGCCTGGGATTCCTTTAAGGTTTCTTTTGTTGGGCTTTTTTGCAACCCCCCCCACCCCCACCCCGCTGGGCTTTCAGGAGAGCACAACAAATGGCATGCAACCTGGTTGCTAAAGTAGCATAACATAATCAAGAAATGTGGTGCCCTGCTTTGTAAGTCTCCCTTCTTTCACCCCAAAGCATGCAGTCTGGATTTTGGTGGAAATAGGGTAAAAGATTTATTAGGGATTTAGGGAAAAGTACAGAATGGAAAAAAGGTTGGTCATATACAGAGCACAAAGCAATAAGCAGTTTAAAGTGCCAAATGACAAACATAAAAATGGACTAGCTAGAATGGCCCTCGGCAAGCTGCCTATCTGATTGAATAAAGACCCACTATGTCAGAGGTAAGGATCTCCTGGGGCTGTGAAGGTCTTCCTCCCTAATTTCAGGGAAAAAGTGTACCTGAGAATCTGTACCAGATAAACTTTGGTGCAATCTGCCCTTGTGTCTGCCTCAGGCTCTCTTACTTCTTTGGAGACTTGTGCATGGCATCTGTGATAGAACAGAAAGACCACAAAGTCCTTGTCCAGTGGAGTATGTCTAATTTGGTCCCTCCCTCCTTGCATGGGTGGAGATTCCAGAAGAATCTTCTATTTTTTGCCTGCTAATCTTCCAATAACAGCTCATGCCTAGCTCTGAGATGGATTCTCTGAGATTTCTCAGTGTTTAGGCACCTGGTTAATCTACTATTCATTAGGTCTGTTAAGGGGAGCTTTCTGTCTCCTGCAGCTGGATAAGATCTAGTTCATATGGGCCGGGGGCTGGGTCACTCCAGCTTGGAGTGACATAACAGCATCACTACCTTCTTTCCCCCTGTTTTCACCACCAAGTGTTGTGAGTGAATAAAAAAGCTGGCGCAGTTCTTGAGAGAAATGCCATTCTCAGAGTATGCATGAGGAAGAAGTCCATCCTCAGAGTATGCATGAGGGCAGTGACCCAGGACTTTGCCTGTCAGTATCCTGGGACACCCTTCCCATGCCCAGCTTTGAGAAACCATCTCTCAGAGCCAGGCTTCTTGGGCTAGTTGGCTCTCTCAAGAGCTGCATCAGCTGCACCAGGAAGCCCTACCAACTGCAGTCTCACAGTGACAAATGTCAGTGCAGGAGAGCAGCTGGCAGGGTTCTCTGGAGCACCTGCTTGGGGAGAAGGTGGTAGCAAGAACAATCCTGATGTCCTCTGCTCTTTTCTGGAGTCTCCAGAGAGTTCTAGGACTATATATTGGTAGGGTGGCTATTTATGACTTGAAAGGAAAGAGGACAAAAAGGAGACAGATTTTCATGTTTCATATGCACTAATGTATATGCATGGATGCAAATTTAAAAATAATTGCTATAATTCAATTATAAATGTAGTTCAGCATAGTAAGGAAGATTGTGACCAGGTGGCCTGTGTCATTATATTTAAACTGAACTTGGTCTGGACAGTCCTACAAAAGGAGAACTGTGGCCAGCAAAGTTGGTCTTATTAGCCATCCCACTCATTGGCTAGCACTTAGC